GCAGATTCAGTGCCATCCCAATCTAAATTCCAGAACTCTACAGCTCAATACTAAAAAAAAAAAGACAAACCAATTTAAAAGTGAGCAAAAGACTTACAAACACAACAATGGAGGATATACAAAAGGCCAGTTGGCACATGAAAAAGTGTTCATTATCAGTTGTCAGGAAAATACACATTAAAGCTGTAAGGAAATACCACTACACAACTAGAATGGATAAAACTAAAAAGTCTGCCAACGTTAAGTGTTATTGAGGTTGTGGAACAATTATAACTCCCATACATTGCTAATGGGAATGTAAAACAGCAATTTTTTGTAAAGTGTACACCAATCCTTTGATAGAGAAAAATCCATTTCTAGGTTTTATTGAAGAAAAGTGAAGACATTTGTCCACAAAAGACTTGTATAGGCATATTCATAGCAGATTTATTTACAGTAGTGAAAAATTAAAGCATACTGTTAACACTCATACAATGGATTACTGTTCAGTGATAAAAAAGAACAAACTAGGAAAGGAAAAACTAAGGTGAAAAAAAATCAAAACATTTATTATTTATGGTAGGCTAGGCATTGGCTGGAAAGGGATACAAGAGAACTTTCTGGGGAGTTGGAAATGTTCTATACCATAATACCTATTTGTCAAAAGTATACAGCTAAAAATTGTACATTTCATTGTATGTAAATATTATCAAAAATAACCATATAAAACGTTGATGATGATAATGATTATGGAGTAAAAGGTGGTAGGGAATAGGTGAAGGTATAAATGACACAGAAGTGACAGAATATTGGGATGATTGAGCTATCATTTTATTGTTGTCTGCATATGTTAAACTATATATAACTTTTGAAGAAATTAAGAAAGAAAAATGTCTTATGTTTACCCAGACATTTACCAGTTCCAGTCATCTTCTTTCTTTCCTATAGATAAATTACTGTTGTAATTTCCCTTCAGCCTGTAGAATTTGTTAGCATTTCTAAAAGTCCCCTGGCCATGAATTTTCTCAGTTCTTTATCTGAAAATGGCTTTATTTTGATTTCAGTTTTAAAGGACAGTTTCAGTAGAGAATTATGAGTTGATAGTTTTTCTTTCTTTCATTCAACACCTTATATATGTCCTTCCATTGTAGTCCGGCTTTTGTTGTTTTTGTTGAGAGCTTCCATCTTATTTATATTTTTGTTCCCGTTTGTGTAATATACCATTTTTCTCTGCTTTCAAGATAGATTTTCTCTTTATCTTTGAATTGAAGCAGTTGGTCAGTGATGTGCCTATTTGTGGTTTTCCTTGTGTTTATCAGTCTATAAGTTAATGTCATTTACAAAATTTAGGATGTTTTTTTTTTTGTTTTTGTTTTTTTGGTTTTTTTTTGTTTTTGCGTTATGCGGGCCTCTCACTGTTGTGGCGTCACCCATTGCGGAGCACAGGCTCTGGACGCACAGGCTCAGCGGCCCAGCCGCTCCACATGTGGGATCCTCCCGGACCGGGGCACGAACCCGTGTCCCCTGCATCGGCAGGCAGACTCTCAACCACTGCGCCACCAGGGAAGCCCTAGGATGTTTTATTCAGATATTTTTCATTCCCCTTCTATTCCTCCTCTCCTTCGGGGTCTTTTTTTTTTTTCTTCTCTGTTCTTCAGATTAGGTAATTTTTATTGATTCATCTTCAACTTCACTTCTTATATCTCCCATCTTCAGTTTATTCTTAAGAGTATCCAGTCAGTTTTTAATTGCATTTATTGAACTTTGCAACTTGAAACTTTCACTTGTTTTCTTTTGATATTTTCTGTCTATTCATTTATTGTGCACATATTCTACTTTAAGTCTTTTACATGTTTATAATAGCTGGTCTAAAGTGCTTGTCTGATAATTGTAATATCTGAGAAATCTTTGGAATCTATTTTACTGACTTTTTTTCATGGAGTATGGGTCACATTTTCCTATTTCTTTGCATGTCTAGTGTTTTTTAGTTGGATACTTGACTTTTGTTTTTGTTTATGTGTGTTTTTTTTTTGTGGTACGTGGGCCTCTCACTCTTGTGGCCTCTCCCATTGTGGAGCACAGGCTCCGGACACGCAGGATCCGGACACGCAGGCTCAGCGGCCATGGCTCACGGGCCCAGCCGCTCCGCGGCATGTGGGATTTTCCTGGACTGGGGCACGAACCCATGTCCCCTGCATCGGCAGGCTGACTCTCAACCACAGCGCCACCAGGGAAGCCTGATACTTGACTTTTTAAATGATGGATTTTAGAGACTCTGAATTCTGTTTTGCTTCTCTGAAAAATAATTTTTATTCTAGAAGGCAGTTAACTTGACTGAATTCAAATTCCAGACTCTTGTCTCCACTGTAGTGGTAGCAGTTGAAACCTTTACTTCAGTTTCTAGCTGCTGATTTTCTGCGAGGACCCCTAGGGTCCCCTCCTTCACTTCATGATTAGTTTAGTGAACAGCACAGGTCTTGGGAGCTCTTTGTGTACAGAGATCGTCTCCTCTTTGGCTCCCTCCCTTCCATGATATTCTTCCTAAATTTCTGGTAGTTCTCCAGCCTTGAGCTCTGTCATCTGATGATGTCAAGCCAGTAAGACTTGGCTTTCTACTCAACCTACCCCCAGTGGCAAGCAGATTTAGCAGTGCCCTCCGCCAAAAAATGCAAATGTATAAATCTCACCTTTTGCAGATTTACCCACCCAGTCACTCTCCTCCCCTTGCCAGGGAATGTGTGCTCTCTGCAGGCAGGATAGATTTCAGAGAGGAAGGGGAGGACTAAGTTTATTGCTCTCAAATCCAATCAGATAAGTTACTCTTCCTTGCCTATGAAGGAGCTAGTGAGGGAGTGGAGAGAGGCCAGGAGTATACTGTTCAAGCAACATCAGCAAGTGAGTTGAGGTAGGGAAGAGATGTTCTCTTCTGATACTCCTAAGAAGTTTGTTCTCTTAACTGATTGGGCCTAAGCCTACGTCAGCTTAGTAGAAGAGATCAGCAGTTTGTCATACAGTTGGACTGACCCTCATGCTGATAACAATCTGGAGGGGAAAACTAATTGAAAACCATCAAAAGCAAGCAAAAGCAGACAGAAAGTGGAGGGGAAAGATAAACTGCAAGTTTTCCCGCAAGACTTTCTGTCAGACGGTATAATGCTTACATCAAATCCATTACCCCCCTGTACTATTTTCTATGCCAAATTATGTCCAACCCAGTTACCAGCATAGCACATGAGAGGTGCTACAGTTAAATGATAATTAATCTATATTGTCCAGGAATCCAGGAGGATATCCAAAGGAGAATATCCAGCAAATATCTGGAAGAGTGGCCACCTGTGGACTTTACATTTTGTCTTTGTTCTATATAACGCTTTTTATTTAAACCTACTTTGTCTGATATTAATGTGGCTACCCCTGCTTTCATTTTCTTTCTACTATATTTACCTGGTATATCTTCTTTTATATAAATTTATTTTATTTATTTATTTTTGGCTGCACTGGGTCTTTGTTGCTGCATGCGGGCTTTCTCTAGTTGCAGCGAGCTGGGGCTACTCTTCATTGCAGTGCACAGGCTTCTTATTGCGGTGGCTTCTCCTGTTGCAGAGCACGGGTTCTAGGTGCACGGGCTTCAGTAGTTGTGGCACGCGGGCTTCAGTAGTTGTGGCTTGTGGGTTCTAGAGCACAGGCTCAGTAGTTGTGGCGCACGAGCTTAGTTGCTCCATGGCATGTGGTATCTTCCTGGACCAGGGATCGAACCCGTGTCCCCTGCATTGACAGGCGTATTCTTTTTTTTTTTCTTTTTGACAGGCGTATTCTTAATCACTGAGCCACCAGGGAAGTCCCTACCTGGTATATCTTAACCCATAATTCTTTATCGTTTTGTTTTAAGCGGATCCCAAATAGCATATAATTGTGTATACTGTTTTATTTTTTATGATTTGAGATTCTTTGTATTTAAGAGGAAGTTTTCATTTATTATAGTAAATAATACAATTGTTCTTATTCTGTCATCTTAGTTTACACAATTTGTTATGTTGCCTTACTCCTGTTTTTCCAGTCTTCTTTTGCTTTTGCTGGTTTTTCTCGTTCTCTTGTTTTGCTCCTAATAACTTAGAAATTAGACATCCTATTTTTATTTGATTAGTAATTTCAAAATAAAAAGAAAGTGAACTTCTATTTCTTTACCAACATTAAGAATACATTAGTTATCTATTGATTCCCCTGGAAATGAGTCACATATTTTAGTACCTCCCTTTGTTCCTACCTCCCACCATTTATTGGAATAGTCTGGGCTTTTAAAACTATTATTATTATTTCTATTTTTTACATTTCATTAATGAACACTTTTCACATTTGCATTTCCTTAATGTAGCCATGTTAACCATGTTAAGAACAATTACTTAGACATTAATTTCTAAGTTTACAAAAGGTTACAATTTTCATCTCTATTTCTTTTATAACATATCTCCCTTATACTTAAGATCTTTATTTTTGTTAATTTATTGGATACTAAAGTATTTCTTTAAGTGATTTTTAAAGAAGAGTATATATCTGAATCTTTGCATATCTGAGGGTATATATTAAATGTGTATTCTTCTGACATAGCAGTTAATCCGTAGGAAATTTTCCTAAGGAAATGATAGCAGGATGCAAAGATGTGTGTACAGGTTCATTTTTCAGTATTATTACAAAAGCAAAAATCAGAAACTAATAAGTGTCTACAAATAGAGATTGGTCGAACAAAATAAAATTATTTCCAGACATTACTGCAAAATCATAACAGTTTTATCACTTTGTCACCTAATTAATGTATCATTAATCTTTTTGCCTGTTACTTGTGCAAGTTATAATTAAAACATAAATTTAGACCATACAAAGTAAACATTAGCATGTTTAGCTGTCAACATTATTATTCTATTTAGTATCTTTTTCAGTTTTTCAATTAGATTAAATATTGGCTAAATAGATATTTATTATTGAAAATATTTTTTAAGAAATTTAATTTTAGTTATTTCTTGTAGTCACTCCATGGATTTTTTTGGGCAACCCAGACCAGAAGATAACCAGTCAGTAGTCAGCAGAATGCAAAAGAAATACTGGAAAACCAAACAGGTCTTTATCAAAGCAACCGGGAAAAAGGAGGATGAGCACGTAGTGGCATCTGATGCTGAACTGGATGCTAAACTTGAGGTAAATTTTAGGATTCTGTGTACTGCATATAACTTGTTATTATCTAGGACGACTAAGAGGACTATGACAAGCTTTCATACTGAAGAACTTATCGGGATAAATGCAAAACTTGATAATAGAATAATTGTATCCCTTTATCAATCAGATCTTCTGGATAGGAGATCATAATTCTCATAGATTGAGGATTGGCAGAACTGGTGTTCATAAATTAGATAAATCATGAACTAAGTAATTTCTCTGGCACAAGTATCGTAATTTTTAGGCCGTGTTAATGAATTAATTATATTTCTAATTGGGACCATATACTCATTATGTATCATGTCATAATATTTTGTACTATTTTATCTGAAGTCTATACCTCACTGCAATACATTAACTGAAATCAAATAGTGAGTGAGGATTTTACAAGTTGGAGTTTTTGTTTCTATTATTAAGGGGTGGAGTTAATTGAAGTATGTCATATGCATTTTTGGTTCTGTTTTTCATTTTAAATAAAAGGACTAATTACCAGGAAACAACTTTAAACTTTAAATGCTTTTAAGTAATTAAGCTAATTAGAAGGAAGTTCTCATGTACGTTAATGAAAAAAATCTAGATTTTTAAATGCAGATTTGGTAATTCCATGTACATATACTAATGTAACTTTTACAAACATTTCCAGGCAGGAGTTCTGTTATGCTTGGAATGTAGTAATCTGTTGGTATTCTTAAATATTTTTAAATAGAGGTCTAATTAAATAGGTCTTAATCTACTAAGTAATTTTATTCTGCAGAAAATAAACTTTTGTAATAGCCCTAACAAATATGGAAATAGAAATTACTTCTATTTAACAAACTTTTTGTGTTGAAAAGTACAATTTGTGTTGAAAAGTATTCTTCTTAGGATTCAGTGAAAAATATGGAAAAAAAGTGAAGGGACTTTATTTTAAGTAATATGTTTTAGCACCAGGGGAACTCTTCACTGTTGCTACATATATTCCCACAGATGTATATTTTTTTGTATTGTTTCACATCATTAGGTAATGTGTGGGTGACATTTTATATTCAGTGTAATTCTTGTCCATTAGACAAATATTTGGAATCAATCAAGAACTTTCTCCCACAATTGTACTAATTTTTTTAAGAATGAGAAATAGTTTCATTTTAAATATACATACAAGTATGCATACTTAAATTATCATGTTGTACACTTTAAATATATTACAGTTTTGTTTGTCAAATTATACCTCACTAAAACTGAAATAGATATTTTTATTATAACAGTGAAACGCAATAGTATGTAAATCTTTCAAGGACCCATGGGGAAAAAAATCATAATCACTTCATCATAACAGAACTATTTTTGTATTCTTTTCTAATCCCCTTCCATATGGATTTAAAACAGCTTTTTAAATTGCCAAATCCATATACCAAGTGTAATTCAAACATACTTAAACTTATGTGGAAAATTGATGGTTGCTCCTCCACTTAGATTTTAGTGTCAATTATCAGTCTTCCTTCGATCCGATCAAACATCAAAATAACAACAAAACTACATCAGAGATAGATCATTCAGGCTTAATGGTGATATTGGAAGTTCATTTGATAATCTCAAAGGATTAGGGCCTAATATTATACCACAGTGCCAAGGTCTTTTTGAACTAAAGTCTCATAGCAACTCTTCAGCGAAGGACTTTGTGAGTCTTCTTTAGGCTGCACCCTAAAACCCATGCTGGCGTGTTTCTCTGGGAAAACCTAAATGTATAGATATGTGTGAAGAGTTACCTCACGTGTATGTGTCCTGATCTCAAATTTTCACTTGCTTGCTTTGAAATGGGAGCCTACTGGATATTTTATTTTTTTGTTAGCTATTAGCAGCAGTGATAATGAAGGGATTAATATTCATGGAAAATTCTAAACAAAAATAATCCAAAAGTAATTTATTTTTGATGTTGTAACACATTATTTAATTTTTATGGTAAACTCACTGACCTGTTTTGCTTAGACCAGTATTGGAGAAAAGTCAGACTCCGAGTTAGTTAGTGTTTTCTAAGGCTATCTATACTCTTTTCATCAGTGGTAAGCAATGTTTGATGTAGTTTATATTAGATTTACATTTTTACTATTTAGATAGTTTGGAGCTGCGGGGAGGACAAATTCCACAGTTATAAATTTTTATTAGTTCCCATGTATTTATCACCATTTCTTCCAACCCTCATGGGGGAAATCTAAATGTGCTTTTTCTACACCTGAAATAAAACCAAAACTGAAGTATATCACAGTCAAGGAAAATAGACATAATACTTATAAGAAAATGTTTTGCTTTTGAAGTGCTTTTTAAATATTTTATATTTGTTTATGGTTCTTTACATTGTCCTAATAAAATTTATATTTCAAAGGTTTTTCACTCCATTCAAGAGACATGCACTGAACTTCTGAAGATAGTTGAGAAATATCAGCTAAAACTCAATGGTATGAAATCATAGATATCTATCTGACAATTCCCATTTAAAATAAATATTCATTTGCATTTTTTTAAATGAAAGGTTTAATGTAAAAATAGTAGTTTATTAAATTATTTTGTGGACAGTTTCTAATGACAAAAATGAGTATTTACAGTGACCTGTTCTCAAATCCCCCAGTGTCCTCAGTTCATCAGATCCTCTGACAGATTCATTTCGCTGAGTTTAGTTTTCCTTCCCAGAGTCTTAAGTGGATTTACTTCCATCATTTAAAAGCTCTCTTTCTCAACCCCTACTTGCTCTAGCAGTTGCCATCCCATTCCTCTGCTCCTTTCACAGGGAATTTTGACATAATTATCTGTAGGCACAGTGTCCATTCCTTTCCTTCCACTTTCTCTCGTACTCACCCCAGTCAGGTTTTCACTCCCACCACTCCACCAGATTGTTCTTGTCATAGTCATGAAGCAATAAATGCAGGGACCAATTCTCGGTCCGTGTCACATTATTTAACACAGTTGATTATCCGCCCCCTCCTTGAGACACTCTCTGTGCTTGGCTTCCAGTTACCACATGTCCCTGGATTTCTTTTTAATGGTCATTCCTTCTCAGCATCGTGCCACTGCTGGAATCTCCTCTTTTCTATTTTTTTTTTAAATAAATTATTTTGTTTTATTTATGGCTGTGTTGGGTCTTCGTTGCTGTGCCCGGGCTTTCTCTAGTTGCAGCGAGCGGGGTCTACTCTTCATTGCGGTGCGCAGGCTTCTCATTGCGGTGGCTTCTCTTGTTGCGGAGCACGGGCTCTAGGTGCGTGGGCTTCAGTAGTTGTGGCACACGGGCTCAGTAGTTGTGGTGCACGGGCTTAGTTGCTCCGTGGCATGTGGGATCTTCCCGGACCAGAGCTCAAACCCGTGTCCCCTGCATTGGCAGGTGGATTCTTAACCACTGCACCACCAGGGAAGCCCTCTCCTCTCTTGACCTCTTCTGATTGGAACTCAATCTTTGGATATCTTCTCCTGCCTTAATTACAGTTCCCTACTGGACATGGCCACCTCTCTGATTCTGTTACTTCTCTAATCTCATCTCCTCTTGAGCCATGTTAATCTCCTTCACAGTAGGCATATCTGCATAGTCGGCTCCCGATCTTCTTTAGGTATGTGGTCAAGTGTCATCTTTTTAGTGAGTCCTTCCCTGACCCCCATATCTAAAATGAAATACCCCTCTTTCTCATAAGTCTGTCTACTTAATGATAGAACTTAACAGTATTCAACATTCTGTATATTTTATCTGTTGTTTTTCTTACCACCACTAGAATATGCCCTCCTTAAGGACAGGAATTTGTCTGTTTATTTCTGGTCTCCTAACCTAGAAACAATGTCTAGCATACAGTGCATACTTAATATATATTTGCTCAATGAATGGTTTTCTTGTGTAGCTGTGTAAATTGGTCTCAAAATTTTACAATCAGAGTTCATGTGTTGTCCCGTTAAAGGAAGAAATCCATTATAGCATGGTAATTTTTTGAGTGCCTGCCATGTGTAAAACTATGTCCTTTTCCCAAGGCAGTAGTTCGAGAAACAACTTTTTGTAACAAAATAAGAGACAAGAATAGTGTGTAATTGAATTCAGGATAGTGACACAGACATACCTCTGAATTCTCTTGGAGTGAAAAATAACTGTGTATTAGAGTGATTGGTAAAGGCAACTCCATAGATGGGAATTGAGGTAAAATGTAAAAGGTTTATAGATGTTGAATATGTGGGAAGAAAGGGAATTGGAGTCAAGGAATAAGGTTAAAGAATGAGAACAGTCTGCATGATGGAAGAGTTTGTAATTGGGACTAGTAGGGTGATACAAGAGCAAAGGAAGATTCGAGTCAGATTGCTAAGGACCTTAAATATTTTACCAAGCAGTAAAAAGCCATTGCAATCATTGGAGCAAGGGAGTCCTGTGACAGAAATGTAAAGAAACATTTGCAAGTTTGTGCATACTGCATTTTGTCCTGGGATCACCAGATCTTTTAGCATGCTGGTGGAGCATTTCAGGGTAAGGAAGAGATATACATATATAGATTTCATCATGTACTTTCTCTTCAAGATTGTGTTTGACTGTGTGATTTCTTGAAGACTGTTTTATTAATAGATCTTCTGTTGAGACTAACATTGGACAATTGCAGTAGATTCCTCCATCACTATAAAGCTTTATGAGAATAACTTGGCTGGGGAAGAACACATAGGAGTAGGGTCTCTGTAGTTTTTGGCAGCAGGTCCCAACACAGAATTAGCACAGATTCAGCTTCATCTCCTCCCCTTTATGCATTGATAAGGATGAGGCTCAATGATGGTTCTTGTTCATTTGATATTTGTTAATGAGATAGTCCAAGTTCTCAGAGAGCTTTCTGGATCATCTACAAGTTTATATTTTTTTTCTAGTAGTTTTCATTGAGGTATATTTTATGAAGTTCTGATTCAAAGGAAATATGTAATCTGTACATCTTTGAAGTAATGAGAATATTAAATTAACCAGATTCCTCAAATCCAATCCACTCTTAATCAGGTTAATTGTTCATAAAACAGCACTCGGTTTTATTAAAGATGATACTACAGAATGTGTAGACACCCTCTCCCAAACACCATCGTGCTCTTCTAGGGCCTCCCTTGTAGGTACTACAGGGAGGACCAGGCGGGGGGGCAGCTAGCAAGTGAGAAGGCCTGAGTTCCCCTGCTGCCTCAGAGGTATTAAAAGGGACTTCCCTTTCAGTTTTTAACTTCAGTTTTTCCATCAGTAAACTAGGGTGAAATTAAGCATGACATTTGTCATGTTTTTCACTTTTTTTTATAGAATTCTTTTTAAAATTAATTTATTAATTAATTGATTTTTGGCTGCATTGGGTGTTTGTTGCTGCGCACGGGCTTTCTCTAGTTGCGGCAAGTGGGAGCTACTCTTCGTTGCGGTGTACGGACTTCTCATTGCAGTGGCTTCTCTTGTTGTGGAGCACGGGCTCTAGGAACGCAGACTTCAGTAGTTGTGGCATGCAGGCTCAGTAGTTGTGGCGCACGGGCTTAGTTGCTCTGCGGCATGTGGGATCTTCCTGGACCAGGGCTCGAACCCATGTCCCCTGCATTGGCAGGTGGATTCTTAACCACTGCGCCACCAGAGAAGTCCTTGTTTTTCACTTTAAGCTCACAATTTGAACACTTTATGGGCTTCCTCACCTGTTTGTCTTATTGTGATTAAAGGGTCATCTTCCACTAGATCAGTGCTTCTAAAACTGTGGTGAAGGGCCATTTTCTGTCTTGTGTTTTACTTTCAATCTGTTGTAAACTGACACTTTTGAAAATACAATAAAAATGAATTTTCAGAAAAATGAAATTAAAGAAGACATGCAAAATATAGGCACACTTTTTTATTATTAGACTCAGATATAAAACAGTCAAATTGGTAAAAGTTTCTAAATAGTTTCTTAGTTTTGATATCTGTCACAAGCTGGTAGCAAATGGTTCTGGACTGGCATTGGTCTACGGACCACACTTTGAGTAGTATTGTACTACATGACAACTTTAAGGGTTTTAGGAACCAAATCGTGGACAGTTGTGGGTCTGAGATACTGAGCATAGGAAAATGAAGCCAGGATGGGAGACAAGAATAAGTTAAGTTTAAATAGAAAGCCAGGGGCTTCACTGGTGGCGCAGTGGTTAAGAATCTGACTGCCAATGCAGGGGACACAGGTTTGAGCCCTGGTCCAGGAAGATCCCACGTGCCGCGGAGCAGCTAAGCCCGTGCACCACAACTACTGAGCCTGCGCCCTAGAGCCCGCAAGCCACAACTACTGAAGCCCGTGTGCCTAGAGCTTGTGCTCCGCAACAAGAGAAGCCACTGCAATGAGAAGCCCGCGCACTGCATTGAAGAGTAGCCCCTGCTTGACGCAACTAGAGAAAGCCTACGCACAGTGACGAAGACCCAATGCAGCCAAAAATAAATTAAATAAATAAATAAATAGAAACCCCCAAATACTTTGTAAGAGGCAATGATCCTAAAGTGCATCTCTGCATGTTTGAAAATGCGTCATCTGTGGCTTTGTTGTATTTTATTATTTTGGAATTTTTTTTTTCACTAAAGATCAGTCTTTCCTGAAGTGAGGTCCATGGAGTCAGTGCATGAAAATCATCTGGAGTGCTTGTTTAAAAAAAAAAAACAGATCCTCACACCTGTAAAATCAGAATCTCTGGAGATGAAGCCCAGGAATTTGCATTTTAAAAATAAGTGTCTCTCCTTCCACCCCCAAGTAATTCTTATGTATAGAGAGTTATTGCTGTGAGAATTTTAGTCGTGTGTGTGTGTGTGTGTGTGTTTTAAACCAATGATGAAATGAAACAATGAACTATACTGTCATTTTTTCCCTAGTTATATCGGAGGAAGAAAACGAACTAGGGCTCTTTTTAAAGTTCCAAGCAGAACGGGATACAACTCAGGCTGGCAAAATGATGGATGCCACTGGCAAGGCACTCTGTTCTTCAGCCAAGCAAAGGTTTATCATGGTTTTGCATCATCCTTAAATTTGTAGTCAGTATGACAGTTTTGATGTGTGTAGTTAAATTTGCATAGTTGTAAAGGTTTCTCTTCATTCCATTAGAAGGTTAAAAGAGAAGTATATTGCAGTATATAGTTGTTTTGATGCCTAACTCTTATTTATTTTGAATTTAAAATAATTATTTAAAAATTGACATTCACAGGTTGCTTAATTCCTAGAAATAGACTTTAGGCCTGTACTTAAATTTCTTAAGTGGTTTAATGTAACAGAGGCACAGAATGGCTAAAATTTAAACATGTATATATATATTTTTTTCACTTTTTGGATATTATACTATCTATGAGTACATTGGAACTTTTCCTCTTTTTAGGCAGAGGAAATTTTGTCTTCTTAATTATATACTTTGCATTCATTATTTTACAACTTTTTAACATAAAGATACCTGCTGCAAAGAATCTCCTACAATTACTAAATAAAGCCAAAATCTTTGCATTTTCTAGAGAAAAATAAAAATAGACTTTATTGGACCTGTAATGACAATGTATAACTTAAGTGGCTTTATTCTGAAACACCATATTAGTGCAAAAGTCCACCTTTAAGGAGGTGACAAAGAGACAGCCAATAAAAGCCCCTCTATTGCCACTAAGTCAAAAGCAGACCAGAGGAGCTGGGTTTGACTTGTGTTTCTTAAATCCTTTTTTCTCTTGTTCTCATCCTCAGCTGCTAAGAATTTTATCCTCATTCCTTCATCTAGCATTTTATCTGCTTTTCTATACCCAGGTTTTCCCTAAATTTGTCAAAAGAAAGGCTTTCTGCTCATAGGATTATGCTTTATAAATATAGGATATCTTTACTAAAGGAATTCTTTTCTAAATGGCAGATTTACTTGGCAAATTATTTATACATGGATAAACATCTAAAATGTTGCAAAAATGATATATTGATATTTCCTGAAATAAGAAAGGGAGAGATAGAAACACATCTTTATTAACAGTTCAAAGTTAACTGTATGATCCTTATTTGCTTTCTGATTTTCTTAGGCATCTTAATAATTTCCTGTTTAAAGACTCATCTTGATAGCAAGTTATGCTTTATGGTTGTTTTTGTTTTATTTTGCTTATGGAATGTACATGCCTCTTATTTTTACCTCTCTGCCATTAGATTGGCTCTGTATACTCCCCTGTCTCGTCTTAAGCAAGAAGTAGCAACATTCAGTCAAAGGGCAGTATCTGATACCTTGATGACAGTCAATCGGATGGAGCAGGCGCGCACAGAATATAGAGGAGCTCTGCTGTGGATGAAAGACGTGTCCCAAGAACTGGACCCAGACACCTTAAAACAAATGGAAAAGTTCCGAAAAGTATGAAAATACATCCCTTTTTTATGTTTTCTTGAAGCTCTACAGAATAATTTAATCAAGAGTATAAAACGTCGGACTATTTTTGGAAAATGTGTTATATTATAAATTCTTGGTTGCTTGGAAATCTTCAGTTAACGTACAAAAGGTTGTCACACTTTTTTTTTACTCTTTGAGTGGCATAATAGATCTACCTTTTAAATGTTGCCTACCTGGACTTTTAGGAGTTGTTTGCAGGAGGAAAACAGTTCATTAGTCAGGAAAAAAACTTAAGGAAAAACTCATGTAAAATGATTATTAATTATAAGTGAAGGTTATCAGATTTTTCATTCTGCCACAATACATAGTTTGACCACAAACTGTTAAAGCAACTATATGTGTGAACATATATTTTGCTAAGTAAACTCCTTATTATAAATTGTATTCCCTGAATTTACCATACATAAATAGTAAAATTCACTCACTCCTTCATAAAGTGCCTATAATAAAAATCCATATTTATATTTAGTATTGATGGAGCCTTTTTACTAGCCGTTACAAGTTCTTTGCCTCAATGATTACTCCAACAGACCTGGGCAGTAGCTGGACACATGGCCTCAGGCAACCTGTTATTCTGTCCCCTTTATAATCCTTGACAATTAGAATACAATCCAAGGGAGTGGTTACACAACATTGTCAATGCACTAGTGTCACTGAATTGTACAGTTTTAAAATGGTTAAGTATATGTTATGTGAATTTCACCTCAATTAAAAAAAAAAGAATATAATCCACACCTCTCATCTAGACCCAAATAGCCCCGCACAGTCTGATCTCTGGTCCCTCTGCTGCCACATCTTGTACAGTACTTACTTTCTGTGCTCCAGCCCTTTCTATGCTTGAGGAAGGAATCGGCTCTACCCTATTCCTTCCTGCTCTGGAAACACTTCCCACACCCAGGACTTTTGTCCTTCCTTTTCCCTGGGTCTAGAGGGCTCTCCTCAGGGTCTTAGCAGGGCTTGCTCATCATCTTCCTATCCCAGTTCACACATGATGCATGAACTCACCAAGGGCTTCCCTGACCATCTAATCAAATGTTGTCACCCACTTCTGTTGCACTTATATGTTATCTTTGTGACTTGAGATTATGTTATATATATTCTTTTTTTCCTGGGCCTCCTCACTCAGGGATGGTGAGGAAGAACATTGTTCACCACAGCATCCCAGTGCCTGGACCAGTGCCTGGCACATAATAGATACCTCATAAGTATTTGTTGAATGAATGAATAAATATATTTAAAGTTGTATTCACACTATTTGGTGATAAATTATTCATTTGTAAGAAATATAATAAGCCTATATTTAAGTTTATAAATATATCTGTATGATTCAGAACTATTATTAATGCTTCTCAACACTTTTACTATGTCCTCTTTCCATTTATTCTTCTACTCTTTCTTAGGTAAATATTATCCCTCAGTAGTTTTGGATGTTTGTTTTTATTTGGAATCTGTTTTTTTTTTTCTTAACTATGTACTTTCTCTCTTTCATCCCATAGTTTCTCAGCATAAACATATCTGCTGGAAAGAGTCTCCTACAGTTTCTAAAAATAGCCAAAATCTTTTCCATTAATTTTGAAATAATACAGGGAAAGGAAATTAGTCTTCTTTATTACAATTTCATGTGTCTGAAAACATGTATCATAAACCTGTGTGGTATATTTATTTCTGTATTATAAGCAATAATAACTAACATTTTTGTGGTTGCAGGTACAGATCCAAGTGAGAAATAGCAAAGCTTCTTTTGACAAGTTAAAGATGGATGTTTGTCAGAAAGTGGATTTACTTGGAGCTAGTCGCTGCAATATGTTGTCTCATTCACTCGCTACCTACCAGGTACCCACCTCCATGGTCAGCATGTCCTTGCAGTAAAGATGAGTGGTGAGATTCCTTTTTAAAAGTTGTCTAAAGAGTGCAAAAAAACTGTATAATTGATCAGATTCCTTTGACTTTGCTGAAATTGCTTATTGAGTTATGGCATTCAGAATCATGAATGGAAAAGACTTTTCCAGTCTTTTCAGACTGGAAAAGACCTTAGGGTCTTTCTTTGCCTACTCCCATAGCTTCACATTATTCCCCTTGGTATCCTAGGAGAGACAGACAGACACTTACGGACTGTCTAGGGTTGAGGAGGGGAATGTGGAGAGGAGGCAGGATTCAAGGCCTATTAGCCTTGGTTCATTCAGAGCTACTCCATTTTAAACTAGTTCTGCATACAGTTTCATTTGAAGCAAATATGCTGTGGCCCCGAGCTGCGGAGCCTGCTCTCTGGAGCCTGTGAGCCACAACTACTGAGCCCAAATGCCAGAGCTACTGAAGCCTACATGCCTAGAGCTCATGCTCTGCAACACTTTTCTATCATTTTATGGATGAGGAAAGTGAGAATTAAATGAGAATTCAATGGCAATGTTGGGCTTAAAAACTTAAGTTTTCTAATTCTAGGTCTTGTGTTCTTTTCATTCTGCCAAATTGCCGTTCCACACCACTTTAATCTCAGAAGTCTCATTTGTGCTTGCTTTATTCCAAATCATACATAAATAGCATACAATGAGTAAGTTAGATATTAACAGGTAGCAGTTAACTGATTTTATCAGGTATTTGTAAATGGCAAAATAGGAGAATACGTTTTTTTACATGAGAAAACGATACAAACTAAAGGAAATGGGTATTCACTGCTGCTTTTAGGGAGTCTACCTAATTCAGTTCAGTACTGTGGAATTCAGAAATCAAGAGAGGATGCACTTGAAAATAAAAGTATGTGACAGGACTTCCCTGGTGGCCCAGTGGTTAAGACTCTGTGCTTCCACTGCAGGGAGAATTACTTGAGTTAGCTTCATAGCACATTTTTTTGACAAGTCTTTCTTGAACTCTAAATGAAAGTCCAAATTTAGTGGTACAAATTATTTTACTCCAATTAACAAAGGTTTGTATTATATGCTTACCAACATAAAGATTTACACATATACTTCTAATGCAAATATGATATTTTGGTGCTTTTACCATTTTTCTTTTGGATTCCTCAGAAGGTGTTCTAATCTGCCAGTTTCATTCTCTTGGCTGCAATTACACTCTAGCTGGCTCCAGTGTACATTTCAGTGCTGTATACAGATAGGCACACATACATGCAGATACAACGCCAATTCTTATGGAGAATTACTGTTTACAGTGCTTGCTGGTTCACCAAACTTGGGAATTGATTTTAGTTCCTACTTCTTATTATTTGACAACTATTCATCTACGATAGTGAGGAAAAATAGCACTGAAAAAAGAGGAGAGGAAGGAGAACTGTAGTGTCACCTTTTCTTTTTCTGCAGAGGACACTGCTTGGATTCTGGGAGAAAACAGCTCGAATGATGTCCCAAATCCATGGGACCTGTATTGGCTTTCATCCGTGTGATTTTGTAGCTCTCAAGGTACATTTCTTTCAATGGTCTTTTCTTAGATTTATTACACTTCATTTGGATAATAACTTTGAAACTACTTTTTGCTAAGCCTAATTTCAACTTTACAAAACACTGGGAAACATTTTTCTACACTCTTTCAGCCATTTTTCTGAAGTTCCCTGATTCCAGATTCTACCAGCAGCACTAAACAAATACATGGAAATACTGCTGGTGGGCTCAAGATATTTGTAGGGTGGGGGGAAGGGGGAATAAAAGAAAGAGAAAGTGAAAAGAAAATTAAAATACAAAAGAGAGAAAAGGTTATGGAAAGGAAAAACTTAAGAGGAACAGGTGATGGAAAGTGGTAATGTGTTTTCAAAAATGACCACATTACCCACCTGACAATTTTAGGAGTTAAAGAAGAATCTCCTTGCTTTACTTTTACACTCATGTCATAGATGTGATTCATGATACAAAAATTATGCCAGTTTTGGTCATTATGTATGTGTGGTTGCCTCTGAAGAGACTACTGTATTAGGTCAGCTCTTTCTGTAACACCTACGTGAAAATGTACCCTTCCTGTCAACCTTCTGTGCATATGCCTTATCCAGCAGAGATGCACTGTGTTAATCATTTCTTCAGTTCTGGTAAGCTAGGTTTCAGTACCTTTGAACTTATCATTCTGCTTTATTTTCAGTAGAGCTTGAAAATGTTGAGTGTGCCTAAGTTGGATGTGATATCTGTGATGGGTTCATATCCTGCAACTGTATATTACAGGGGCTTAGTATGGATTTTTAAGTCAGGTTCTGACATAGCATCTTCTGTTTTTGGTAGATACCCTTGAATTTGTTTTTTGTTGTTGTGTATGTGTTTTGTTTTTTACTTTTTCTATGTTAATGCTTTACTGTATAGCATACTGTCTATTTAGGGAAATTTAACATCCAATTTCTGCTCAGACTTGAAGTTGAAAATCTTTAATTGTATTTAGAACGTTGCAGTACCGGCTGGCGACACAGTGTAAGTCTTCTTTTTCTTTGGCATTATCACAGAGTGGTGAACCCTGTGGTTGGCCCATGGTGTGCATAGTGGCTACAGGCTGCCAGGATACAAAGGACACAGGGCTCGGGTCAAATTACATCAGCATACATCTCCCATATCTCACACTCTCTACTTTAAAACTCTTCCTGTTTTATATCGTTCTCTAGAATTTTTGTTCGCATTTTCGTTTGCACAAAGAGAGAAACAGATTCTTTGCATCTACTTAACATTGAATTTCTTACCCTTAGCAACTACAAGGCACTCCAGTCAAGCTTACTGAAGACCACAAGGAAGAACGAATAGAAGACAGTTCTCTCCCGGAAAACCTCAATAAGTAAGCAGACAAAAGTTATAGATCATGTTATGGAAGTCCTGGATACCATTGTACCATATATTTGGAAAGAGTTGCTTCTTCTTTGGTTTACCGAATACTTATTTCTCTGTCATTTTTCCAATTAATGTTAAACGTTTGTTTTGAAACCTACCACCCCCCTCCCCCATTTTTAACATGGTAGGCAAAGTTGATGATAGGAGTACAGAACAGTTTGGGTGATAAACCCAAATTCTATAGTGTGGGAGACTGAGCCTTGTATTAAGAGCCTTTACCTAGTGAATCCCAAAAGGGGCAGCTTGAAAAAGAAAGGGACAGGTGTCAGCAGCTATGAGACAGAAGCTACTGAAAATCTGTCTCCAAAAAAACACAGATGGGACTGGGATTGGTTACCTGAAAATGGAGGCTCTTGCTGTGCACATCTTTCATGTTGCCTCTTTCCTTCCCTTTAATTACATCTTACCTTTGTTTTCCTTTCAGAACTGCCACTTGTCATTTTAACCAGACTGCACTGAGTATAGTAGCGAACCCAGAAATAGGCCCAAACAATGACAACCATATATTGTTGAGTGGAAGGTGATCTGAAATATAAGTATTTCACCCTTTTCTCTAGGGGGAAATACAAATTTTTTTACTAACTTGGATATATAAATGTTTTAGTATATAGATTACACAATCAAATGTATAGATATGAATTAAATGTATTAACTTAGTTATACATTGACATTTAAAATTGTACATTAAGCATATTAAATTGGTAAATATTTCCGTTATCACATTTTATGAAAGTTTTATTCAGAATCTTCTCATACATCTTCAGCATTATTAAAGCTACCTTTTAAAATTTTTTTATTTATTTATTTTATTTTTGGCTGCATTGGGTCTTCGTTGCTGCGCACAGGCTTTCTCTAGCTGCGTCAAGCGGGGGCTACTCTTTGTTGCGGTGTGCGAGCTTCTCATTGCGGTGGCTTCTCTTGTTGTGTAACACGGGCTTTGGGCACGCGGGCTTCAGTAGTTGTGGCTCGGAGGCTCTAGAGCATAGGCTCAGTAGTTGTGGTGCACGGGCTTAGTTGCTCCTCGACATGTGGGATCTTCCTAGACCAGGGATCGAACCCATGTCTCCTGCATTGGCAGGCGGATTCTTAACCACTGCGCCACCAGGGAAGTCCGAAAGCTACCTTTTGAGTTAACTAACAGATTCCAAAGCACTTCACCTTCTCTTCCATTCAAAGTGTTTAAAACACCATCTATGTATTCTGTCGTTGGAAATTTCATCCCAAATCAAAGTATCTGTTTCCTCTGTAGGCTTATTTTGTAGTATTTGCAAATAAATACTATATTGCTTTTTAAGTGTCTTTAAAGGCTTATTTTTAAAAACCCTCCAATACTAGAGTTGTGAGGTTATACCCCTGGAATAATAACTAAATCTGGTTCAATTTCTTTATCTCATTTTTTTATTATTACACCAGATGGATGATATAAATTTCCAAAATTAGTATTGGTTCAGAATGTTTTAGGCAAATGTGCCTTCTTTTGTAAACATCACTTTGTTGTTCAAAATAGAGTACTCCATTTTTTCTGCAGTTCTTCATTCCCTCTAGTTCCCAAGTATTCTTGAGCAAAACCTTTTTTTTTATATACATCTTTATTGGAGTATAATTGCTTCACAATGCTGTGTGAGTTTCTGTTGTACAACAAAGTAAATCAGCCATACGCATACATATATCCCCATATCCCCTCCCTCTTGAGCCTCCCTCCCACCCTCCCTATCCCACCCCTCTAGGTCTTTGCAAAGCACGGAGCTGATCTCCCTGTGCTATGCAGCTGCTTGCCACTAGCTATCTATTTTACATTCGGTAGGGTATATATGTCAATGCTATTCTCACTTTTCCCCAGCTTCCCTCCCCACCCCTGTGTCCTCAAGTCCATTCTCTATGTCTGCGTCTTTATTCCTGCCCTGCCGCTAGGTACATCAGTACCATTTTTTTTAGATTCCATACATATGCATTAGCATATGGTATGTGTTTTTCTCTTTCTGACTTACTTCACTCTGTATGACAGACTCTAGGTCCATCCACCTCACTACAAATAACTCAATTTCGTTTCCTTTTATGGCTGAGTAATATTCCATTGTATATATGTGCCACATCTTCTTTATCCATTCGTCTGTCGACGGACACTTAGGTTGCTTCCATTTCCTGGCTATTGTAAATAGTGCTGCAGTGAACATTGTGGTACATGTCTCTTTTTGAATTATGATTTTCTCAGGTTATATGCCCAGTAGTGGGATGAGCAAAAAACCTTTTAATGCTTGAAAACTAAACTTCATACTTGATGTCGTTGGTGACAGATGTTCTCTGTGGTATAGTATTTAGCACAGCGTTTACCATGCTGAACGCGGTGCTTGGTGCTTCATCAATACTCAGTAAATATATATTGAAAGAATAAGAGGTGAAGGATTATTTTTACAGTCTGTGTAGCTCTAGAGAAGAAGATTTGTCTCAGACAGATTTTAGGAGATCTACCGGACAACTATTTTATATGTCTCCTCAGTTTAAAAAAAATTTTTTTTAAGCCACATAAAACTGTTTGTAGAGTATGAGTCCCAAATTTATTTTAACCAAAACCTTTGGATTTTTTTGTCTTTACTTTAGGTTAGTTTTCTCAGATGAGGAAGTGAGCTTGGGAAGTGAACCAGGTAAGATGGTAAATTCATTAAAATGTGAAATGATCACATTTAAATGCCAAAACAGTTTGTTACAGCCTTTGGGGATTGTGTTAATATCCATTCAATTAAAAAATGTTAAGTCCCTTTGTAAGCCTCTTCTGTACAAACTTGAGTTCGCCTTTTTTCCCCAGCTTTATTGAGGAGCTGTAATTGACATGTAACACTGTAAGTTTAAGGTGCACAGTGTGATGATTTGGTATATTCTAGTATTGCAAAATGATTTTCACCATAAGATTAGTTAACACATCTATCATCTCACATAGTTACCATATTTATTTTGGGCATAAGAACATTTAAGATTTACTCTCTTAGCAATTGTTTTTAACTATAGTTACCATGCTATATGTTAGATCCCCAGAACTTACTCTTCTTATAACTGGAAGGTTGTACCCTTTGGCCAATCTCCCCATTTCCCCCATCCCCCAGGCCCTAGCAACCACCAGTCTACTCTCTGTGTCTAGGAGTTCGGCCTTTTTAGATCTCACATTTAAGTGAGATCATAGTGTCTTCCTCTGTCTGACTTATGTCACTTAACATAATGCCCTCTTGAACAGCAGTGAGCCAGTGCAGCAATGAACGTGAGGGTGCAGATGCCACTTCGAGATAGTGATTTCATTTCCTTTGTATATAAACCCTGAAGTGGAATTGCTGGATCATATAGTAGTTCTATTTTTAATTTTTTGAGGAACCTCCATACTGTTTTTCATAATGGCTATACCAATTTAGACATTCCCACCAACAGTACACAAGGCTTCCTTTTTTTCCACATCGCCACCAGCATTTATCTCCTGTCTTTTTTATACAGCCATTCTAACAGTCATGAGGTGATATTTCATTGTGGTTTTGATTTGTATTTGATTTTATTAGTACTATTGAACACCATTTCAAGTCTCTATTGGCCATTTATATGTCTTTGGTTGGAAAAATGTCTACTTTGCCTATTTTGAACATCAGATTACTGTTGTTGGTTTTTTTAATATTGAGTTACATGAGTGCATTATATATTTTAGATATGAACCCCTTATCACATCTGTGGTGTGCAGATATTTTACCTAGTCTGTAGATTGCCTTTTCATTTTCTTGATCTTCTTTTTTTTCCCAGAGATTTTTAGTTGGATGTAGTCCCACTTGTTTATTTTTGCTTTTGTGTCTTGAGCTTTTTGTGTCATATACCAAAAATCATTGCCAAGACCAGTGTCAAGGAGTTTTTTTTGTTTGTTTGTTTTTTGGTTTTTTTTTTTTGCGGTACGCGGGCCTCTCACTGTTGTGGCATCTCCTGTTGCGGAGCACAGGCTCCGGACGTGCAGGCTCAGCGACCATGGCTCACCTGGACCGGGCACGACCTGGACCAGGGCACGAACCTGTGTCCCCTGCATCGGCAGGCGGACTCTCAACCACTGTACCACCAGGGAAGCCCTAAAATGTCTTTTGATTGGAGAATTTAATCCATTTACATTTAATTATTGATAGGTAAGGATTTAGTAATGCCATTTTGTTCATTGTTTTCTGACTGTTTTGTAGTTCCTTTGTTCCCTTATTCCTTTCTTATATCTTCCTTTGTGACTTGATGACTTTTTGTGGTGGTATGCTTTGATTCTTCTATCTTAACTTTTTATGTACCTATTACAGGGTTTTTTTTGGTGATTACCATGAGGCTTACAATAAAATGTCTTATATTTATAACATTATTTTAGGCTGATAACAATTTAATTTGATAGCATACAGAAACTCTATACTTCTACTTCTCCTCCCCTCACATTTTAGGTTATTGATATTATAGTTTACATGTTTTTTACATTGTGTGTCCAATAACAAATTACTATAGTTTTTTTTGTTTGTTTGTTTTTTGCGGTACGCGGGCCTCTCACTGTTGTGGCCTCTCCTGCTGCAGAGCACAGGCTCCAGACGCACAGGCTCAGCGGCCATGGCTCACGAGCCCAGCCACTCTGCGGCATGTGGGATCTTCCCAGACTGGGGCACGAACCTGTGTCCCCTGCATCGGCAGGCGGACTCTCAACCACTGCGCCACCAGGGAAGCCCACTATAGTTATTTTTAATATGTTTGCTTTTTAACTTTTAAACTGGAATTGAAAGTGATTTATGAAAAAAAAAAAAAAAGAAAGTGATTTATGCACCACTGTTACAATATTACAGAATCTGACTATGACTATATGTTTACCTTTACTGATGAGTTGTACACATTCATGCATTTTTACAAGGTTAATTTGCATCCTTTTATTTCAGCTTGTAAAGTGCCCTTTAGCATTTCTTGTAAGGCAGGTCTAGTGGTAATGAACTTTCTCAACTTGTTTGTTTGAGAAAGTCTTTATCAGGTCTTCATTTCTGAAGGACAGCTCTGCTGATACAGTATTCTTCATTGACAGCTGTTTTTTTTTTTCAATATTTTGGATATATCGTCCCACTCTCTCCTGGCCTGCAAAGTTTCTCCAGAGAAATCTGCTTATGGTTTTATAGGGTTTCCCTTGAATGTGACAAGTCACTTTTCTCTTGCTGCTTTCAAAGTTCTGTCATTGACTTTAGACAGTTTAACTATAATGGGTCACAGTCTCTGGTTGGGTGAAGTTGCTGCCCCTGCTCTCAGGTGGCAGAGGTGGGCAGGCTACTTGCTAGGCTCTGTGTTCAAGCAGTTCTGCTGGCTGGGCTCTGTGGTAAGGTGGTGCTGTGCTCTAGGGTCAGACAGTGTTACTAGCTGGGCTCTACAATCACCTCTAGTCAGGCAGGGTCGCTGGCTGTGCTCCCTCACCAGATGCTGCTGCTGCCTGGCCTCTGCATGCAGGTGGGGCTGCAGCAGGGCTTCACAATCTGATGCAGCCTCAGCCTGTACTTTGTGATCAGGCAGAGCCACAGGCTGAGTTTCATAATTGGGCAGGACTGTGGCTGTGCTCGGCTTTTGGGCAAGGTCGCTGGCCAGACCTCCTGGTAGGGTGGGGCCTCATACTGCACCCCACCGTTGGGGGGTGTCATTGACTGGGCTCCCTGCCTAAGTGAGACTACAGGATGTGCCCAGCAACTGGGCATGGACGTAGGCTGGGCTTTGCTGCCAGGCAGGGCTATAGACCGGGGTGTGCTGCTGGGCAGTACTGTGAGCTAGGCTGGGAGGCTCCCCAGGGTCCCTTTTAGGGCATCCTGGTCAGGTGGGCTGGGGCCATGCTCCCCGTTGGGTGGGGCTGCTGACTTGCTTCCCTGCCTGGGCAGGCAATAGAATATGCTCTGCAGCTGCCCCAGGTCTCAGTCCAGGCTTCCTGGTCAGGCGAAACTGGAGGCTATGCTCAGCAATGAGTTAGCTTTCAAGCAGTACCTAATTAGAGGGTCCAGTTATCTTCTTTAGGGAATTCTGGTCTTCTCTAAGATAGAGGTGCTTTTAGTGTAGATATTCATTTCACAGGGTTGTATGATTGTTTCAAAGTTATCCTCATATTTAAATTTGTGTTATTATTTTTGGTGTTCTTATTTTTTAATAAATATATATTATATGTACAGTCAACATATATATGAATTACTGTAGCTTTTGAGCCAGAAAAATTGGGTTTGAATGCTGGCTTTTTTTTAAAACAAGTCATTTATGCCTCTCATTTTTCTTATCTGAAAAATGAGTCATACACTCTTGCCTTGCAGGACATTAGGGCTAGATATATTTATCAACTATATAGCACACAGTAGGCATCCAATAAATGTGATAGGTATTTTTAAGTATACACATAAATACCATATTGATAAAAGAAACTATTTAAGAAGCTATAATAATCATGAGCTCATATATCTAACATACCTTCAGACTTATGTTCCAAAGGTTAGCTAATTTTGCATGCATAATCCTGTACCTAAGTAGAGAACATTTTTTTAACAGTCATAAATGAAATATAATGGACATTGTTGTAGTTTCACCATCCATCTATAGTATTATTTTGTCTTTTAAAGCCTGCTGTATCAGCAGTTATATCCCTTTTTTATTGAAGTATAGTTTATGTACAATATTATATGTTACAGTGTACAACGTAGTGATTCACAGTTTTTAAAGGTTATGCTCCATTTATATTGGATTGGCCAAAAAGTTCTTTCGGGTTTTTCCATAACATCTTACGGAAAAACCCAAACGAACTTTTTGGCCAACCCACCAGTTATTGTAAAATATTGGCTATATTCTCTGTGTTATACAATATATCCTTATAGCTTATTTTATATGTAATAATTTGTACCTTTTAACCTCATACCCCAAACTTGCACTTCCCTCTTCCCTCTCCCTACTGATAACTACTAGTTGGTTCTCTATATCTGTGTGCCTGTTTTTTTTTTTGTTATGTTCACTAGTTTGTTGTATTTTTTAGATTCCACATATAAGTGTCATCATAGTGTTTGTCTTTCTCTGTCTGACTTATTTCACTTAGCATAATACCCTCCAAGTCCATCCACATTGCTGCCAATGGCAAAAATAAACTCAAAATGTATTGAAGACCTAAATGTAAGGCTGGAAATCAGAAGTCCTAGAGGAAAACATATGCAGAACACTCTTTGCCATAAATCATAGTAATATTTTTTTGGATTCATCTCCTAAAGCAAGGGAAATAAAAGCAAAAATAAACGCGTGGGACCTAATCAAACTTAAAAGCTTTTGCACAGCAAAGGAAACCATCAACAAAATGAAAAGGCAACCTATGCAATAGGAGAAAAAATTTGCAAATGATATGACCGATAAGGGGTTGTTATCCAAAATACATAAACAGCTCATACAACTCAACATCAAAAACACAACCTAATTAAAAAATGGGCTACCATATGACCCAGCAATCCCACTACTGGGCATATACCCTGAGAAAACCATAATTCAAAAAGAGTCATGTACCAAAATGTTCATTGCAGCTTTATTTACAATAGCCCAGAGATAGAAACAACCTAAGTGTCCATCATCGGATGAATGGATAAAGAAGATGTGGCACATATATACAATGGAA